TGAGTGATACTTTGATTAATGTATTACAATGGTCAAAACATAGTTCACATGTAAAGCAATAATAATGAAAGTCTCTATCACCATTGCAGGCTGAATTTGCTATTACAGAGAGGTAAACAGAACATGGGAGTCTTCTTCCTGTGTTTGGTTGAAGGATTTGAGGAGAGATTTAGAAATGGAAAGGAAAAATGTGTGTGAAATTAGGTGAAAAATAGATATGTTTTATCTACATTTCACCTACATTTTTCATTTTTCTTTCCAAATCCCTCTTCAAATCCTCTAACCAAACACGGGATTAAAGGATTGTTTGGGATATTCTAAATAAGTACACTTTTTGACTTTTTATGAAATATGGGTTCGGTATGTGTTGGGTTTAAAGTGATTTGGTAGAGAGGTGGTGTGACTTAAATAAGATGATGTGACTTAAATAGAATAGTGACTTTTTTGACTTTTTCAAGGGATGGCAAACAAAACCTAAGGTACTCCACATCTGACATTGATGATAGTTTTAGATCTTTTGTTTAAGTTTGACATAATTTTTTATTATGTCCTTAAATTTCACCTACTGACCCTGAAGCTGTGTTTAGATTATTATTGTTTTGTATACAAATTTAGTAAAAGAGAGAAAAAATGGATGAAATGTAAATAACATGTAGTTACATATCACATACTCATTTATTTTTTCTTTTTAAATATCTACCTAAATTTTTGATTTAAACACAATATTACTATTTCCATGGTTTGGTCACATTTGGAGAGTAGCATTATAAACTAGTCGGAGCTTCTTTAATCAACTCTTCCCTAGAGTACCATAGAGTGGTCCATTGCAAATTGCTAATATATATATATATATATATATTTGAATGGAGGTAAAATTTTCACATCTATTTTGTTACATGTTTTTCAGTATTTTCTCAACCACCAAAGAGAGGACTAAAAGTTGAATACATTATCTAAATCGAGGTCTCCATCCATGGAATACATTACCCCAACAATAGGTTAGCCAAACACAAACAAATAAATACTTGTGAAGGTCACACAAAATTAAAAAATGATGAAAATGTATTAACTATCTTTCTATCCATGGAATACATTACCCCTAACAAATACTTGAGCAGAGTGCTAAGCATTATGTTAGATAACCATGATGATGATAAAATTATGATAACAAAAGATATTACCACAAAATATTTCATATCTTAACACTAAAAAAGCTAATTAACAATAAACAAATTTTGACTAGTTCTACCAAAAGGGGGGGCAAAAAAAGTCTGCTCCAACATGCTAGACATTGATGAGATCAAACAGGGGACATACTCTCGATGAATCGGAAAGGATTAAGAAGACCATAATGACAAATAACATTATCCAAGATACCTAGGAGAAAATCAATAAGCACCTTCCCTGTCTTCAAATTCACATTATAAGAAATAATTTTGCAACTCTCTAGAAAAAGTAACACTAGTGCAAAATCGTGTTCGTTTTCTTCTTTCTCAACACTTGCCACAAAAAAACTATGATGGAAAACAGTGCTCTGAACTATCCCAGGAAATACATCAATTAAGGGTGCAAGATTGACATTGCACTTCACATTTCAACTGCTGTAGTCCCTATTCATATCGAGGACTTTGAATTCCATATAATGACACGAAGGCATCTGAATAAGAAGCAAACGACCACAACATTCTCCAAAATACCTAGTCTTGTCTTCAGAGAGAATTTTAGGCCTAATTGGCAATACCATGAGCTTCTCTGCATCAAAGTCAAATCTAGTGTGAACTTCTCCTTTTCCTCCTAACCAATGGACTGCTCCATTCCAAAAAGCTCCTCCTCCCCATAACTTGGTCCAGTAGTCAAATCAATCTGTTTCCAAGACGAACTCTCCGAAGAGTAGATATTAAATTTATCAATCCTTTCAAATACAAGCAAAACTTTGTAGTGTAGTGATTTTGAAGGATCAAAAGCTAAGTAAGCATATGATCTAGATAAATGTTGACAAGTTTGAGGAAGTAGCTTGTATTTCTGTGTGGTCACATTACAAATAATATAACTTCTATTAACATTCAAATCTGCAAATTGACTACTCTCACACTGGAGTAATCCATTGCAAGAGCTATGAATTTTGATTTTAGAATCTCTTTCAACACCAACACCGTTAAGGAAAGAAAGTGTGGGAAGACTTGCATTGTCGTGAAGCGAGACAGACATGACTTGTTTCATGGAACACCAATAGTCGTAACAAAAATATAGTCCCACGATCGAGTGGTTGGGTTGATTTTGGCGAGCGTGGTTGAACGAAAACTGTGAGTCGAAGATGAGAAGGAACCAATTCTTGGAAACAGACTTGAATCTAAGTAGGGATTTGGGAGGAACGCATAAGAGAATCTGTGTAAGAAGATCTTTATTGCTCACAACTGCTTCTAATGCCGTTGACGAAGAAGAACAACCGATAATGGAATTCGTTCTTGTGCTGCTTGATGTTGTTATATTGATCATGTTTGGTTTGCAAGGAAGATCAAAAGAGAATACGTAGGGATGGGAATATGTGAATTGAATCTGTTCGGCACTGAGGTAGACGGAGAGAGATAGAGAGAGGTGTCCACATAAACCCTAAAAGCCCAATGTAAATCTTAAACCCTAACCCTTAATATATACCACAAGAGCATCATTCTTTATTTTTAATTTTTTATTAAATTTAAATTTAATAAAAAAAATACTAAAAAATTAGAGGTGGACAAACATTTAACATGACCAGGTTTGGGCCGAACTTGTACTATATAGGATATGTATCAATCCAAGTCTGGCTCAGTCCAATATCGGGCCTAATCGAGTTATCAAGTGCGCCCATTTAACTTAATAGATATAAACTATTATTTTCCTTTTTATGGACTACTAGACCCTTTTTAATGATTATTTGAATTTAAGCCAATTTTTATAAAAATTATAATATAAAATATAAAATCAATATTTTTATAAATGGTTGGGTCAGACCTAGTCGGACTAAAACTCTTTATTTCAAGTCCAATTCAAAAATTAAATGGGCACAAAATTTCAGCAAAGCCTAATCCTATGGGCCAATTTTTTTTTCCAAGCCTAAAAATATGAAGCTAGATTGAGCGGGTTACGCAGCCATTAGGCCCATGGTTTCCCCCATCTCCAATCTTTTTGTCAAAAGTTTATCAATTCAAAGGGACAAGTATTGGTTTTCATCAAATTGATAATTTATGAAATTTTTCATCAAATTAAAAATAAAGTATTCAAAATTTTTTATTTTTATATTTATCAATTTTAACAAAAATAAAAATTTGGGATAAGAGGGGTATATTTTAAAGGGGGTTTCAACGAAAAGATTGAGCTTTTTCATGTTGGTCATTTCCATTTGAGAGAGTATTTGGATTTTTGTAGGTTCATTTTGGGACCGATTTCGGTGATTCAAAATGTTTACTTTTTAGGACTCGGTGAGTATAATGTTCATGCAAAAAATCAATATGATCAGATATCGGTACCTACATATTTAAGTCAAATCTGTATTATAAAAATGAATGGTTATTCATCTTTATCTTCCTCCTTGTCTTTCCCATCATTTTTTGACGATTGATTTACTTCATCTTGAGCAATAGATCCAGTGACCTCATTCTCCAGATAAAAACTTGTGCAATGACATGGCTTTATTACTGCTGGAAGCTCTTCACACACTCTAACTAGGAACATGCTTCCATTACATTCAACATTAATCATCGTATTGATGAACTCCATTATGGTAGTAATTATTCGTACCTTCCCACATTGAAGAGAATTTTGGCTACTAATATCATCATCAAATTGAACAACCTCACCCCACAACTTGCCAATGTCTCTGAATGTATTAACACTCCACAAATTGAATGGTACGCCTACACATGTAAGCTACACACACCTTTCTTGTTCAAAGTACTTACCTTTCTCCTAATCTGTGATGGAATCACACAATTCTAGCGTCCACTCTTCTAGCGTGGATCTTGCCTCCCTTTATGTTGCGGTGATTTGAAAGTTAGGACTGTTAGCCTTCCTTCTCCATCTCTGACACTTACTTTGTCACGCCCCAAACTCGCCCCTAAAAGTTTGGGCATGACCACTTCAGAACCGGACAGATAATACGATATATACAACATATAGGGCCTGAACGAAAGCATTTAATAACACAAAATAGTACAAATTAACATCCATCGAGCTCACACCTGTATGCCAGAATCTCAATGTGCCATTCAACAGTTCCTCCTATGATAGACAGATATACAAGAAGTAGATATATGCATTCACACAATAACATATTTGGGCATATATACAGAACCAGCCCCACACGTGGGCATACAGCAAAAGTATTGGTAAAGGAAATTATGCACGACTAATTACATTAGACAAAAGATTAAGGACCAAACTAGGGGTCATTGAGGGAACCCCACAAAGTGCATAAGCTTTTCCACATGGCTTGACCAGGAAGGGGTGACCAAAGCTGAACTAGGACCGACGTTCAGGTTGATTGCCTACAGAAATAGACATAACACAAGGTGAGCAAGGCTCAGTGAACAATAGCACTCAACAATTTAATGATTAAACTTAAATTGTAATATTTATAATGTATGTAAGTGCAGAGGTCATATAATTACTCTTATCTTGTAAACATTTAATGATTACTCTTATCTTATAATGGAGGAATTAAGACAACACAATGGCATAATCATCACATTAACATGGATTACACATTCAATCAAGGCTTTAATTCCTTGAAGTTCATAAACACAATCCAATTCCATGGAAGTTCCACTTCCTCACACATATATACATACATATAGCCATTTGTTTACATAAATGAGCTCAAATGTGATAGTTGAAGAAATGAAATGTAAATTCTCACTAGGTAATTCAATATAACTCCAACATAACCAAGTATTAAGAATAGCTCCCCTAATTCCTCAATTAACCAACCCTTAACCCCTATTACAACCTTAACTTACATGATAGCACAAGAAGTTCTTATTAAGATTAAGAGAGGGGTTATTCAAAGTAGATTTCACTTACCTTAAGTTCAAATCTCTACAATCTCTCTCACTTTCCCAACTTTCTTCCTTGTGGAACTCTATTCTCCCTCTCAAATTCTCTTCTCCTCTTACTCTCTCCAGGAGATATTTTTGAGTGGTGGTTTCCCTAAGTCAAATGTATAAGAAGCATTGATATATATATATATATATATATATAAAGTGAATAAAGATGAAAATCCATCAGTTTAATCATTCCAAATCAAAATTTCATAGAAAATCATGTTATGACCTAAAAATCATGCTGATCTCAAATATAAAATTAATTTCAAATTATCAAGACTCTAAGGCGTTCAATTTCTGATTTGAACATTATAATTGTAACAGATATTTCTCCTACTAAACAAAAATGAATCTATATTCATAAGACTCATTCAATTAAACCTCACTTCACACAAAATTTCACAATAAGCATATAAATGCACAGAGTAGGGGACTGAAAGTATACCATAAAATATGTACGAGGGTCGGGTTATTACACTCTCCCCCACTTAAATAAGTTTGGTCCCTCAAACTTGTTTTACTACGTAACAGATTAGAAATCTTAGTCTCACACTATTGTCCAATTCTGTTATAGATGTTCACGTAATTCCTCAGTTCGAACAAGTCACGGGTTAACCCGATATGTATCACAGTTATTCCAAAGTCCCCAACATAATAAACATCTCAGAGTTTTATCCAACTAGTCGTTTCGATGTTCATTTCAGGTATGTAGAATAAAAGAAAACAACTCCATATATTTATTTCATAGGAGCCTGCGTCGAATAAGATAAGACTATCAGAGTCCACCAACAAGGTTCTGCCTATTTAACAAGGTATACTTCATTCCAACAATCACAAATAAGTTGTTTAAGTACGTAGCCACTAGCTTCACAATTTGTTCTTACTATTCCCTTATTTCCAAAAGCATTTCAAAGGCATACCATTATATTGGTTCAGAATTATATGTAATAGTTTTTAACAAGGTCAGTACAACAGAAAGAAGGGTCACAATACACATCGTTAATTCCTCATAGCATTACTTCTAAGCACAGTAACACAAAAAGAATCATGCCCGAATCAAACAGTTATGATAATATCAAAACTAGTATCATATACTTCTGCAAATTCATGAAGATGTACCATGATAAACACTTAGTCACACTATTATAAGTTTCGATCTGAGTAACCGAAACAGGTAGAACAACCATCTTTTTGAGTAGAGAGAGCCATCCAAAGATAAAGCCAGAAATCAAATTCAAAATCATGTTTAATTAATCAATCATAACAGTAAGGTGTAACATCCTCCCTTAGTAAACATTTCTTCTTGTTACAGCACAAATTAATTTGGCCCCTTTTTAGTCATTTCAGTGTTCTACTAAGCAGATAATTCTTCCTTTTCCTACTGTAGGTTACAAGATCAACCACATGGTTTCATATTCGCAATTTATAATTACAGTGGGTCAGCAAACAGCCATACAGAAATTATAGACCAGTCGTCCGGCCCAGTCAATTAACATAAGCAGAGTATTCAATTACTTCACGTACGTAGGTTCTACAAGATCCATTCTTAGGGTCATAACTTCATTAAGTATCCTGTAATCACATCCATCCGGATTCCATAATGTCTAGAAATTCAATAGTATAGCGACAAAGTAATTTGACCAACTAATATCAGAGTTAAAATTCTTGGCAAGATCAGCTCAACATGATAGTAAATCAATTCGGGATCACGTTGCGCATATTGTACAAATCTGTATAAACATACAGGAGGAGGTAAATACCCAGTACATATCGTTAACCCACCATCAATATAGAATATTCCCATGTCCATTCGGTTTTTTTTTTTTTAGCAAAGTATACCATGCCGTACAGAACAGTTCATAATATAGCCTTCAATATAAAATAGAGGACTAAATTGCACTACAAGAAAATCCAGTTTTAGCAGCATTTTTTATTACAGCGGCCTAAAAAATGCTGCTATAAATGGGCTATTGTAGTGGTTATTGACCACAACTAAAAATTAAATTTTTAGTAACATTTTTTGCCTAAAACGCTGCAATATATTTTTTAATAGTGACGGTTTGAACACAACCGTTGCTAAAAAGCCAATCAAAATAGAGGCCCGCCAAATCGAACTCTGATTTTGCACGAAATCAGATTTTTTTTTCTTGGGGAGTGGATAACATATCAGAATTTCAGTCCAAAAAAAAAAAAAAAAAACCGTTCAACTCACAATTTGTGCCCTAGTCCACCACCCCTGTTTGGTGAAGTATTAGAGTTCATCCTCCCCCGCGGCGACGTATCGGCGTTCATCCTTCCCCGCAGCATTCGTCATCCTCCCACTGTGATTTCAAGGTTAGTTTGCTTTCTCTGTTTCTCTTTCTCTATCCCTTTCTTTCTTCTTGTCTCTCGGTTTATCTCTCTGCCAGTCTCCTTTTC